TGTAAACCCGGCCCCATGGCTCCAAAAGCAACAGGCAGTCCTGTGGAAGAGGAGCCTCCCTGTGGGTGAGGGAGGATTGTGTGTATGTGATGGAGGAAGCTCTTCAGTTTCTCCAACAAAACCAGTTTGATAGAGCTGTAATCCTATCTGCTATTGCTCTAGCGTCTGCTTTAAGTGAACGCTGAAGACATGATTAAGAGTGTGATGGTTCCTCAGTCGGCCGTTCAGACTTTGGTTGTACATTCACCAGAGATACATGTGAAGGCGGCTTTTTGCTTTGGTTAGAACCATTTATGTAGTGTACTGTATGTAAAGTAACATTGTGCAATGTTTTAAGTAGGGCTGTGCGATCTGGGGAAAATATCTAATTGCAATTTTTTTGACAGATATTGCGATTTGATTTGCGATTGAATTTTGCAAACAAACTTCAGCTCAATAATCTGTATCGTAGCTTCTTACTGCTTAGATGCAGTGAGTGTCAGTTTAAAAAAGAAACTGAGAAGATATTGACTTACTCCAACATTTATTCAAATTTGTTTTTAAGTATTCAGAAATTGAACACTCGTTTTTCTCCTGAGCAAACCGTAAGCACAAATAAGATGACCTTTCCTGTCTGTAAACAAGTTCAACTCAAATTATGGACATAGTGTAACTTATTATACAAACAAAAAAATAATTATGAAAATACAGAACACTTAGCAAACTAACATGGCTGATGGGAGCCTTTCTGTAACTTATATTGTCTAAAAACAAAATAGTTATCAACATAGATGCTACACAAAATATCACGACATTCAACGTACAGATGTGGAATTGCAAAATGGATAGAATATGTGTTAATATGTTCATTCATATGGTGCATACAGCCACAAACAACTCTAAAATTGTGCTTTGCTGTTGCTTGCTACTAGACTGAGTGTTACTGGCAATACTTTCAGTTGACTTTTTAGCATGGCATTCCTAATATAGCCATGTTGTGCTTTTTTCCACCAAATCAGAGCTAAATAACTTGTTTTATATCCATTTTCCTAATTGCTAATCTCTCTTTTACACCAAAAATAGAAAATTTCTATTGAAAAAACTTGGCATCTCGATAGGTCAGTTTTCTTTTAGATTATTTAAAAGTTGTTAGCACCAAGAGAAAAACTTCAATGAAAGGTTCTTTGTGGAACACAAAAAGATTCTCCAATGCCTTTGCAACAAATAGCACTTTTGGGACTTTTTTTTAAAGAGTGTAGATGTTTAAAAAATGTTGTTATCATAGTTACAGTATAAAAACATATTGGTTACGGGATTAGTTAAGCTCAATTAGGTCAACATCAATTTTACCCTGACAAATTCATGTCTTTTACAGTAAATCATCATACCCTGTGAAAATCTATATATTTAATCACATTAAACTCTGCTTTCGAAAGACCTTCGGGATGAAGTTGTAGAAAACCACAGGTTAGGAGAAGTCGACAAAAACATTTCAAAGGCTGGAAATAATTTTTAGAACGTGATTTAATTTCAGGCTGTATAGGGTATGATGGTTTTCTATAGGCACTGTACATAAGGTTGACATTTTCGGGCGCTAAAGCTAGTTGCTAGTTGCTAAAAGTAGATACTGCTCTACCTGCTGTGTGTTCTTCATTCATCAGTTTTGGAATAGTGTAGAAAATTCTATCAAAATTATAATTTTAGGTGAAATTATCCAAGTAATAATCCTGTATTTTTTCAATTCTGACTGGAATTCACGTAGATGTGTGAATTTAAAGTCTGAGTCATCTCGAAGTTGCTGAAACTTTAATTTTCAGTTTGCTGATGTTCTTCCATATGAAACAGAATATTGAGTAGTGGGCGGGGCTTTCTTTTTAAGTATCATTTCCGTGAAGTAAACTACTGATAAGAGGGGCATAGTTAAGAATATTGTGGCAGAAAACCGATAAACTGACAATACCACAGAAATACCACCACACCAAATGCGCAATCAAATGGTTAGACTTTGATTGACATTTTGTTTTTAGATGAATGAACTTGCAGGGACAGATTCTATATTCTATTCTATTCTACAGAAACTATACATTTCATTTAATAGTCACCCATGCAAGATTCTACATTTCTATGTAGTTTAACAACATGATAATTAAAACTAATATATATATATATATATATATATATATATATAAAAATAAAACCCAAATCTCAATAAAAGCTATAGTAGAATTTCAAGAATACTAAACACTACAATTAATAATTTGTGTTTCTTTGTCTCAGACAAACAAGAGCAAGAAGATTCAGCTCAAATTACGAGTCTCTTTTTATGTGCTACTAAAATAGCAGTGCTTTTGGGAATCGTGCCGTAGAGATTAAGTACAATTCACTTTCTGCTCAGTGCTTTGGGAAGCTGATCAAAGTCTATTCAGCACCTTGGACAGCGACTGCACTCTGAGCTTTTTTTTTTTATGATGATGCCAGTTTACGTCACATCGCGAGAGAAAAACCAACACACCAACGTGATTGCGAATGGAATTAGCATTTGAGTGTGGGGAGATTGGTTGGCCACTGTGTCGGAGGCTTTTTCCTGCACAATCTATTGCTCGGTATTGATTACTTTAATGCAGTCTACTGGAGACGCTCTCCCTGGGGTACACTGAGCATCTAATGGGTGGCTGTGGCATAGAACTGCACTAATAAGGAAACACGCTTATCGGCTCACCTCATCCTGTATCCCAATCACTTCCACAATTCACACTGTCACCTCTGACCTTTTGCTTCCTTACATGCCTTCTGGATCCAATCGATAGCTTTGATCTATTACAACAGATTAAAATGTAAATACGGTTTTGATTCTTGTGACATTGTCATTTTATTTCACTTTTTTCCTCTCATTTTGGCAGATTTTCTAGTTGCAATGAATTGCTTATGCTGGAGAAAAGTTTAGTTTCTAAACAGGTTTAATAACAAAAGAAAAATACTTGGTGTATTGCTTTATTTTATACACATATTTAGAGTAAACAAACAAATTAAGCTGCAAGAATATTATAAGGATGTATTGCAATGATTATAACGTGTACAACTATGATTCTAAAGTGTTATTAAGCATTAACTCATAGATTTATAAACTAGATAACGCATACGGACCCTGAGCATGCGTCAATAAAGCCACCACATTTGTACAGTGCTTCCAGCACAAAAGTCAATCAACCGCACTAGTTAAAACTAAAGCCAATCTGAAGATGCTGGACTTAAGCACTGTGTACAACTGTAGCAACAAGCAAACAAAGAAAACAAAGCACAAAGGCAAAACATTTCATAGGTAAGAATTCGTTTTGTATGTTACAAACTTTTGTGATAAACAAGTAACACTATTGATGATAATGCCGTCTCTTACTGCACTGACCCTAAGGCAAAGTAGTACCAACTTGCACTAAATACTAGGCTTATGCTAGTTTAGTTAACTAAAATAAGCAAACAATGCAAATGAAATTTGACAACAAGATGCCGCTGCATTCACAAACGAATCGCTCCCTCTGTTAGATAGAGAAGTGAGCGCAGGAGAGGGGGTGTGTATCAGGACATGGATTAGATCAAATTTAACAGGGAGGGAGGATAATACATTTCCGTGCACTTAAACACACACTCTTTGTCAGCAATGCCCGTGCAATCACCTATCCATCAATATATAAAAGTGATATATAAAAATGATAATTTTCGTCATTTAAAAGAAAAATTTGCATACTGAGCACCGGGAAAACTCCCAATCATAGATATGTGTATAAACTCGTGTTCACTATTAGCCGGCAGCTAGCTCTCTGCAACTCTCACATAGTCGCCCTAAGTTCAGCAAGGCTGCGCATGATCAGTACCTGAACCGGAGACCACATGGGAAAGCTAGTTTGCTGCAGGTGGTGTTAGTAAGGGCAGCAGGGGACACTCAATCTGCAGTCTGTGAGGGCCCTAACGCCCCAGTTTAATGAAGGGGACTCTATACTGCTGAGATGTTAAACCGAGGTCCTGACTCTCTGTGGTTATTAAAAATCCCAGGTTGTCCTTCAAAAGAGTAGTGGTTTAACCCCAGCATCCTGGCCAAAATTTGCCCACTGGCCTTTGTCCATCATGGCCTCCTAACCATCCCCATATCATAATTGGCTTCATCACTCTGTCTCCTCCACACCAATCAGCTGGTGTGTGGTCTGGTGCAATATGGCTGCCGTCTTATCAGGTGGATGCTGCATATTGGTGGTGGATGAGGTCTAAATCGCTGCAAGTGTCTAGAAAAAGACTATGTAAATGTAAGGAAGTATTATTATTATAATGAATGGTTATATATCTCTGGCTCCGGATGGCCAGTCCTCTACTGCACCTGGTCCCACATTCATTTCAAAGCAGCACTGCCTTTTACTAAAAATAGCGTAGGCAACATCTAGTGTATGGCGTTAACTAAGAAATTACCATCATCTAAGATTAATGAAAGATTTAGTAGTTTTCATTGTAAGAGTAGCATTTCTATTAACTGCACAACAGCCCATTAAATAATCACAGAATTTTTAAACATGATCTATTTCAGCATGTAGTAGGCTAGATAAACTTGAAAAAGTCTCCATGCCTTTATTGCTGTTATGAACAATTGCAAATACAATGTGCATATTCTTACAAAACACTGAAAGATCAAATACTTATTCATTTATTTAACTTCTTCATTTGGTTACCCTGATGAAAGAAAGTGTTTGTCAAAATATGTAGGTACAATTTTAAGGAACAGCCATCTCAATAAAGGCTTTTGAACATTTTTTTTTGCACATTTTTCGAGTGCCTTAGACTTACCTTTGCTGTTTATTTTGATGAATCACTTACGCAGGGATCACAGACACATTAATTAAGTTACCCCTGAAAACTTTTTGTTTGATTTTGGACTTATTCACAGTATTTTGAAGTGCCCATGATATCAATATAATGCATGTTTGTTATCGTGATCTATTGAATTATTGATTTTTTGTATATGTCTACTCTCATTGCAGTCCAGAAACAGTCTACAGCAGGGGGATATGGATGGGGCAAGACGTTTGGGACGTTTGGCTCGTCTGCTTAGCTGTGTGGCCATCATCGTGGGCCTCCTGAGCATCATAATATATGTGGTGGTTGCAGGTATGTATAATTACATGTCTGTATATGTCATTACTTTATCAGTCTAGTTTAGCAACTACCATATAAGATAGATGTGACACTGTTGCTATGAGCTGGATGACCCGATTTAGTGTTTAAAAACAAAACACTTGCATTTTGACTATTGTTTTATCATTGATAAAGTGAAATAATGAGGAAAAATGATCACAACATTAACATAATAAATGCTGTTGCTTAATTCTAATATGCCATCAAACATTTCTGGTAATTATTAGTATAATTGTAATCAATGATTAATATTTTTATCAAAACCGTGATACATTTTATTATTATTTTATTATTATTATTAAATAGTTATTAAACTAATACCAGTAAATTAAAAATAATTGAATGCTAAACCTAATCCTAACTTTACAGTAAGTTTTTGATTGCAACATAATTTGCACCTTTTGTTAAGCTGCTTTGGAATAATTATTGTGAAAAGCTCTATACAAATACACAGAACCATAAAGGGATACTCACCATTACAACATGACAATCCTGCTATTACTTACTTACAACTGACTTTATCAAAACCAGATTGTTTTAAGCTTTTTTTCTTAGTTGAACATAAAAGAAGACATTTTGAAGAATGTAAGAAACCTGTAACCAGTAGAAAAAACATACTATGGACGTCAATGGTTACAGGTTTCCAACTGTATTGAATATGTCTTCTTTTGTGTTTAACTGAAGAAAAAAATACTTGAAAAATGTAGACGATGATTAATTGAGGGCAGAATTAAAATTGTTGGGTGAACTTTCCCTTGCAAGTGTTTTTCTTTCAAAAGTATATTGAATATTATTTATTTGTTTATTTAATTACCATTATTTACTAACCTTCATGTTATTCTAGATCCGTAAAACCTTTGCTCATGAAGATATTTCTCCAAATGAAGATATTTTAAATCAAATCTTAAATCTCAAGAAAGATTTCTCTTTATCCATTAAAAGTTTGGTCACTTAAAACTCTGAAACTTTAAAATATTCATTCAAGAAATTAAGTGGCTTAATCAAAGTATCCTGAAGAGACACAATCACTTAAAGAGCATATTTTATCCAGAACCTTATTGAGCTATTACGAAAAACAAGTGCAGTCATACCTGGATTAATATGCAATAACAAACTTTATTGATTCTTGCTGAAGTTCAAGCCTGCCACATTGACCTCATTGGTTCTTTTGCAGTGATCAAACATGCTTGAGTTTCCAAGTCTGAACACTGTAAATGGATCAGTTCTCATGTGGATAAAAGCTTAGATTAAAACTGTCCATTATATTAAGCAATCATGTCTTCACAAGATGCTTTGACTCATGTGGATCTTCTTTCCGGTTCATGAATGCATCAGAGTTTTGAGTAAACGGATTTTCAATATAGAGGCACAAATCTCAGATTGTATTATTAAGATTAAATTAAATACTTATGGGTTTGAAACAACATGAGTGTGAACAATTGGCTGTACTCGTTTTGAAGCAAAATAACAAAAACAAAAAAACATTACATCTATTTTTTTAGCAGTGTAATGAATTCTTTTTAAAAAGTTAGGATGGAAAGAGTTTAAATTGTTATAACTGTGACCCAGGACCAAAAAAAGTTGGACCAAAAAAAAAAAAAGACGTTCTCCAGAAGAAAAAATATTATTAGACAAACTGTGACAATTTCCTTGCTCTGTTAACCATAATTTGGGAAATATTTAAAAAAGAAAAAACAATTCAGAGGGGGGCTAATAATTCTGACTTCAACTGTATACTGTAAGTACACCCCTCACAAATCTCTCTTTTAAGTTCATATTTTTAATAGGAAGCTATACAATATTATATTCGTGCATATACATTAGATTAGACAGTACTGAAGCCAAATCTTGAGCTTATCTAACAAAATAACTTATGATAACAGTCCAAAAACTAGTACAAAATTGATATGTTATAGAAAAAAAAAAAAGTTAAAATCAAGAGAAGCAAAAAAAAAAAAAAAAAAAAAAAAAGTAAAAATTCAGTTGTAATTTTTTATGCAATATTTTGCTTGAATTGAATTGTATTATCTTTCAATTTCTAAATATGTTTGGTGAAAAAAATATTATTTTCAATAATATATCTGTTTAATGAATCTGTTTTGTTTATATGCATCAAAATACCATGCCTATATTCCCTGAAAAATTGGTTACCAATATGCATTTTCAAAATGGGGTGTACTCCATTATGCTGAGCACTGAAAGCTTTGATTAATGTATGGTTTTGCTTTAGTAATATTACAATCAATTAAAAATCTGGAATATGAAAATATTACAAAAATCACATTTAAAGCTGTCTAAATGAACATTACTAATTTAAAAATATAATAAATATCTCAATCGAAGATGATATTTTCTTAATATTCGAATGATTTTTGGCATAAACTAATGTATTTTTAGTTAATGGCAAAAATGTATAAATGCAGCCCCCCTGTTTAATGGTGCAGGGTTTCATATCTCATTTTGTCAAAGATAATTCAGACTCGGTATGATAGAGCAGGTCACAAACTTGTGGTTTGATAAATTACATGTGTTTTTTTTTAATCAATGCTGATATTATAATTCAGAAACTCCTGTTTATTTCTCTCTATATTCACAGTTACCGGAAAGGGGACAAAGTAAAGATGACTACTACTACTACTACTACTACTGCAAAAAAACCCACAGATGATGTAATTAAAACAAGATCTCCCTCTTATCAATAACGCCACAGAAGATGAAAAAGAAACGAGGACTGTCGCAACTAAATAAGATCTGATTAAGTAGCGAAAATGCATGCAGTAGGTTAGCATGCTCAGTGAAAAAATTAAATAAATTCAAAATCCCATATGTTAAAAAGAACAGTGATGGCTTGCATTATGTAAATGAGAAATACTGCTGTATCGGCAAAAAAAAAGTGGCCTGTGGATGATGACACAAAGGACAAGGACTTCTTCTTTTCTTTTCTTTTTTCAAAAATGGAAAACGTCTACACACAGCTGCATTTTAACCTTATATTACTCCTGGTCGATCTTGCATTTGAAAATTATGCACAGAAATATTTGCAACTAATAAACTACTGATGTATGTTTTATAGAAAAGATTTCTATGTGGAGTCTGAGCTGAGGGATTGAACTAGGGTCGACTTATCCATGTCAGGTGTAGAAACGAACACTGGGGTTGGAGGTTTCATTTTTCTCCATTTATTTTGTAGGTTTGGATTTCAAACAAATGACCACGTGCATGTCTGACCTTGTATGTGAATAAGTGTCAGCATTTTCAATGACTATATCTTTTTTTAATCTGTGAGAGTAGTAGTGGGAGTCTACAGATGGGACTGTACATCGTTGTCCGTAGTGTGTCAAATGCTATATTCTGTCAAAGACACAGCATTCATGGAGAGCTCAGCCTCTCATTACACGTCCTGTACTAGTCTAGTTTTCTTTAGAGAGGTAAGACTGTAACGATACGCATGCCAGGCCTCTCTTTCCTAACAAAAACTGCTGGAGCATGGACATTCATCTAGAGGCATGCGGCGGCCAGCACCATTCTGTGCCAAGACCTTTATATCAGTATGCTAAACGCACCACAGGACTATTCATCCTTCCCCGGGTTCTTTCCAGGACAGAATGTCAGACTCCCGGTCATAAATCTCCCTACTTAACCCTTATAAATATGAGATATATATCAACATATTTATAGAAATATTTAGGCATGCTGTGGGTGGACAAAACACTTTCTATCTTTAAGAATGAGCTTGTGTGTAAGACCGTGTCCTAACCAGACGCAACGTGATAAGACTCTTGTCTTGACAGAGTTACATGACGTAACAAAAGATACAAAACAATGTCACAGCCAATCAGAAGAGAGTGTAGGCATGATCGTCTGCAAGTGACGAGTTTATAACGCATAATACAAAATAACCAGAGCATTGTTAAAATACATGCTGAATGACTGTTACCATCTTTGTCATGTGATTTACTTGTTTTTTTTTCTCTCAGTTTTTATGATTCTTTTTATAACATCAAGAATTAGAAATGAAGTAGTGAATTAATAATCTGTTTTTTTTTTACATTAAAGCTTTCAGTCAGTACCTGAGATTATCACATTGCATTTTAATGCTGGGTTCAAACTAGGGCTGCATGATATTTCATAGGACAGTGTATGTGCGTAAAATATAATCAGTGGCGGTTCTAGTTTAAATGGCACCCTGGGCGAAACCACCCCAAACACCCCCCTTCAACCATCCCCTAAGAAATAATTTATATATATAATACACATATAAAATATATATATGTGTATATATATATATGTATGTATGTATGTATGTATGTATGTGTATGTATATATATATATATATATATATATATATATATATATATATATATATATATATATATATATATATATATATATATATATATATATATATATATACATATACATACACACACACACACATTTAAAATAATTATTAGAAATACATTTAAATATATTTATTTATTTTTAAAAAATATGTTATTTTTTTATTATTTTTTTAATATTACACAACTTTTATTCTAAAAAATTACAGACATCAATCCTAAATGTAACTGAAATGTAATGACACAGTCACACAGCAAAAAAAATTCTAAGACTTTTGCATGACTTTTGTTTTATAGAATTATCTGTTGTCTAAGACCCGGCTCATGGCCTAGAATTGATGATGTCAAAGTAACATCATAATCATATTTTATAATATGTTAATATTTAGTGTTGTTGACTTGCATGTCGACGTGCATGTAAACAACCGGAATCATGATCAGCGTGTGTGAGGCGTGCAGGAATGGCTTTCTGAGCAGCTGCCTGCGTCTATTTGTTTTCACCAGCGTTGTTTCAGTTGCACATAAAGAATAACAAACTTGAGTTGTGAATTGAATTGGTAATGGCCCCTAACATCTTTATTCGTGGATAACCACTCAATACACTTGCATAAAGTTAATCTTATCTCAAAGCTTTTACTGGGCACTTTTTTTGCTTCCCCCATGCCACCCCCAGCAAGATGGCGCCCTGGGCAATTGCCCATGACTAAATCCGCCACTGAATACAATTTTAAAAAACAATAAGCAAAGTTAAATAGATATAACAGAGCAAGTGTTCAAATAAAATAAGCAATGACTTATGAATTTCTGGGCAGTCGAACAGTTTTCAGCAACAGAAATGAAATGATCACTGTATAAAAGTTACTGATCTTATTCTTCAGTGTGGAAATGAAATGAAATGAAATAATGCCACTATGTTGTGAACTGTTATGTCTGGTAAATTATAATCACAACTTGACGTCGCAGATTCTGCAAAAAAATGACTATTGCACTCTCGCACACAGCGATATTGATGCTGAAACGGTATATTGTGTAGCCCTAGTTCAAACCACAAAAATTTTTATTTTAATATTACATATGCTTTCCTATCGGCAGATAAATTAGTTAACATTCAAATGAAAAAAAAAAAACACTCTATGAACTGCAGATTCTCAAAATTCTCACCTTTAAAAAAATATTTATATATATTTTATTTTACAGTTTTCAAAAAGAGTTAGCTCAATGAACTAATATTACATTTGTATGGAGGAATGGCTAAAGCCGTTCACTAAATATAACACTAAACCAGTAGGTGGCGGCAAGCTTGTCTTGTGCAATTAATTCACTACTAATTCAATCGATTTAGTCAAAAATGTTGATTCATTCAGAAATTAATTATCATTAATAGATAATTGAATTATTGGCTAAAATTACTCATTTAGAAACTAAAGTCAGGAATAAATCTCAGCTATCTCTTTCTGCAACTATTCTGGTGCAAAAAACTCAAATTAAAGTCTCCTAATATAATTAATTATTTTGTTAAACTATTGCATATAGTCTAAAATCCAATTTAACAGACAAAAATATGGTGTAGTATGAACCCAGCATTAAGCAGAATCCCTTGTCACCCGTCGTTTATCTCCCTTATGGCTGATAAAGACACAAACATGGAAAACCTTTTATCGCATGATGTCATATTGAATTGCGTCCGGTTAGGACATGGTGAACTTTTCTTTGACACGTCTCACGGTGTTTATTGCATCTCTGTGATTGCTAATACATCGTTCTGCTAATATTAAAAAGTCAAAATTAAACTGATCAATTATAAGTTTGTCAAAAAAAAGAATATACAGATACATAACAGCACTTATCTGGTTAGAGCGAGATGGAAGGGACGAAATGTTTCAGTTTGCTGATCTTCACACTGAATTAAGTATTTAACTGCCCTGTTATAGATCTCAAAGCACTTTATTAGTTATTTTTCATCAATATACTCATGTCATTATGCATAATCTCTTAGGGAAAACAGACTGTTAGCACTAAACACCTTTCATTATAGTGTATCCTTTACTGTTTTATGAATCAATGCTCTTTCAGAACTCTTTTGTTATGCTGAGTTGTTACCAACCACTATGCCAATATGAATGAGATGCAAAAATGCTGCTATGTGTCTTTTAAAACTGTGATTTATTATCTAAAACTCTGGATTCTTGGTTCACTTGTATATCTGTTTTTCTATGTTAGGAACTGTGTACCTTTGCAAGTGTGAAATAAACATTAACGTGCATGGTCCACAACTTGCTTGCAGTTATTGGTCCAACACAGCACAGCGGCGGAGGAACATCTGCAAGGAAAATAATTGCATTAGAACAAAACTCAACATTTTAAACTTGCCAGACCAAGAAACAAAGCTTTCAAAGCCATCCCGCCGAATGCACATACACACAAGCTTCATTTTTCATGCTCCTGACTATTGGGGTTGTAAATAATGCATAGCAAAGGAAATGGCACAAGATCTACTGGCTGATTTTGCACTTCACTGGGTCTCTGATCTCTAAGCATGGCCTTCTGCCCGGCCTCACTCCAGCACTCAGCACTAACAGCGCTTTCTCTCTCTCTCTTTCTCTCTCTCACAATGACACAAGTGTTTAAGTAAACACAGATCTAGCCACCAGCTTAAATGAGACTAAAGTGCCATCATTAGTCATCTAGGATCGCAATCTGAAATGGTTGCATTTGCAAGGAAATGAAACAAAGATAAACACATAGAGCTTTTTGTAAGCTGACCTAAATCACATTCCTTTTAAATGTTAATGTAGCCAACTATGTAGCCTTCCTGTAGCTTCTCTGTAACTACTGAGAAACCCAGAAATGTGACAAAGGTCCATCAAGACCAACTGAACCAGGATGTTTAGAGTTACTAGGGCTAATCCAAATTGGCACCCCAAACTCTTGCAGTTCACCTTGAAGTCCAGACTTTAGTTATGTGATGCTGCTTGGGTACTACTGTCAATTAGAAGTCTGTTGTGAAGGATCCTCTTTAAAAAGGATTATCAGGATCACCCCATCTTTTACATAAATCATTTGAAAAATGTGGGTACCTGTGTGCACTTTCTGAAAGCTAAAATCATAAATAGCCTGGGATACAAATGGTCTGTGATGCTTCATTATGTCCTTAAAAAAAAAGACTAGCATGTTTACATTTTGGTATTGGAGTTTGGAATGTTTCAGCACCATGTGTTGGGTCAGATTAGAACAGGACAATGGCTCTTCAGGACTGGACATCCCTAATGTAGGCTGATTGCAACAGTCATACTGGACTTGAGTAACTTTTGGTTAAGTGTCACGCTCAAGGGCACCACAGTGACAAAGCAGGATAGAGATCTCTGTAAGTATCTCGTTTCAGATTCACAGTGACGACTCAGCTTGTGTAACTTTTCTGGAAAGCGGCCCAGAAACTCAAGTATTACATGACCTGCCAATCCTATTCCTATTCAACTCACACACTACTACATAGGTAAGGCAGATATCAATGAAATCACAAAATGATGGCTTTACTTTATAGTATTAAATTCTGAAAACAGTTTTGCTTGTAGTCTTATCTCACTTCGCCAGAGCCAAGGAATAAAAAGACCCTTAAATATTTAAGAGCTGCTATACCTCAAAATCAAGAACAGCAGGGCAGGTGATGTGTGTCATGTCTTCATTCCTGGACAGGAGTCACATAATAAGATCACTAGGAAAGAACAAGATAAGGCAACATGTGGAGTGAAATGAAACAATGTGGAGATGACAAAGATTTATTCATTCATTCCCTGGGCTGGTGAACAGAACATGTTTCAGACAGCAGGGGAGGTGAGCAGGCTGATGACAGCTTCCTGTGGAGATCTGCAGGAGGCCTACTAACTTCCAAATGACTGCTGCAGTCCCTCTGCCACACACTCATCTAGGCAGGGAAAAGCATGAGGCAAAATACTATATGTTTGTGAATTTAAAAGGCCCGTGAAGTGTAGAGAGTTAAAGAAAAGGACAAATACAGTTACTGGGCAATTTTGTATGTGCATGGTCCAAAGGAGTGTTTCTCAAGAACGTTCCTGGAGGACATTTAAGGAGACATTTTCTGTGTCTCCTTAACCAAACACACCTGATTCAGATCAACAGCTCATTAGCAGAACCTTAAAGACTTGAAATGGGTGTGACAAACAAAGGTGACATACAAAATACCCTTCGTGTATACGTATGGTCCGGTGCAGCCACCACGTGGATATAGCCCTCGCAGTAGCTGATGCGGACCAAGTTAAAAAAAATTTAACTACATGTCGCAATGACATGTATCGCAAGCTCTGTGATTGGTTGTTTTGTTGTTTTGTGTTTACCTTATGATTTAAGTTGTGGCACATCTCTGCCGGTTCAAGCGGAATGAGTGAGTTTGAGCTATTTGTACATTAAGGTAGCGTTCAGAAAAAAACAAAAGCACTATGAAGAAACTTGACACAGGAACATTTTTTTGTTCCTCTGTCAAGTTTCTTTGCTGGTGTTTTGTATTTTTGAACGCTACCTTAATGTAAAAGCTCAAACTCACTCATTTTATGGCAGGAACCGGGGACGTGCAACAAGTTT